CATCAAGCCTTGTAAGCATAAGAGAATAGGATGCCCATATAAGTCCAAGGAGAATGAGCCCAGGCCTTGCTATGAAGCACCGTGTGAATGGACAACATTGAATGAATGTCTGGACTCGATGCTGTGGAGCCAGACTTGTTTCAAATACGGGGCTCTTCAGTCATGAAGCAGACTCCTAGTCCTGGAGTGGCGTGTGTACGAGAGTATGGTTGTGATGCTGTATGTGAACGCATGCAAGCTTGATTCGCCTTCAGGGGGCTGATAATAAAACCTAGTAAATCATCAAAATGAGTTCATAAGTGTTAACTTACACTGGACACAAAACCAAGACCGGTTTAGCAGCAGACTCTGGTTTACTCCTGCAGCCTGTGTTTCTTTTCTTTTTTTTTCCCCCTCTTATTTTTCTTTCAGTTACTTTTAAGTTCTTTCCTGTATGGCTTATTAGTTGTTTGTGAAGTCAGAGTTTCAGGAAGGCTTCCCTGTGCATTTGCACCAGATGAATGTTTGATGTTATGAAAAGCTTTCCATATCATCAAAACTAATTTGTAGATTTTTGCATGAAAAAGATCATACATTTCCCTTCAAATAGACTGTGTTGCAGTACACAAGTTACCATAATAGTAGAAAACAGTAAAATGTGGTAATAAAATCTCATCCTTTTCATTTTCAAAGATAACATGAAGACCTTTGCATGTGGTAATCTACAGCATAGTTCATTTTTAGATTTTGTTGAGTCCTGTAACCAAATGTTTCCGTTGTGGTAGAATACCGTGCTGTGTTTCAATGTTACTTGTTTTCAAACTTTGTTTTCTATGAAAATGATATGGAAACTTCTAAAAATGGAATTTGGTGCATATGTACTGCCGAATAAAGACCGAAAAAGAGGTGTGAATAGATGTACAAATCAAGTCATGGTTTGAACACCTTTAATATGCCTAATCCAATTGTTTTAGACTCTTTTTATCTTAGATGTAGGCAGCCATGAACAATCTATTTTGAGCCACTTTAGAGAGAACTTTGTATTTTTAAAACTTGCACAAAAGCGATGCAAGTGTTTTTATAATTGGAGTAATGCCTCAGTTTTGAGGTTCTGCACACTAAATTAAAGGTGATGTTACAAATTTGTACAAAATGAACTCTTTATAAGGTGGCTCATTGTAGGAAATGCTGTGCCTTCCCCTTTGAGCACAAGTGTTGCATGAACAACAGTTTGCTATAATAAAACATACCAGATTAGCCACCATTAGCATCTATATCTACCTTGTGTTTTAAAATCAACTGGTAATTCTGAAACACTGTAGAATGGATAAAGATTATTTTGTGATCATAACTCTTTGTTGGACTAGAGTATTTTTGCAGCATTCCTTGTCATCAGAAACATGGTTAAAGTTTAAAACTAGAAGCAGCGGAAACTAGCTTGTGAAATTTATCCAAGTAGAGTGCAGGCTAGGCTGTCTTGGGGAAATAAACATTAAATCTTGCAACAGTATTGTACTGAGCGTGTCTTTTTGTGTGTGCGTTCCTATTCTTCAAAAGGTGCTGAAGATCAGTGCTGTGTTACTGTTACACCTGCTCCATCATCTGACTTGTTTACATGCCGTGTATCAGCACATAGTGCAGTGTGTTACGTGGGCTTGGCACAGTGGTTTTTGGTGTAAATTCCTGCTTTACCCGGTTACGTAGTATGTGTTAGCTGAAGTAAGAGTGTTTTCATGTAAAATTGATCTACCTCTTAGAGGGGATGGAATAGTTAGTGTGATGTGTGTGTTTATTTGGAGAAGTTGATGTGCTGTAAGTGGAATTTTACTCACGTGACACGCAGAATCTGTAGTGTGATGTACTGGAGAAGATTGCTGTGTTGTTGGTAGAGGTGAGAGGAGAAAAGGTATTTGTAGCAATTTGTAGGTTTGATGCAGGAAGAAAAGAAAACAACACTGTGGCAAGGTCCTACAGTGCTCCTGCTGCCTCTTCCTGCTGTTACATACTTGCACAGAATCTCCTTTAATTCTCTGCTCTTCTACCCTCAGCCTCTACCTTTTTACACGGAGTGTTCTCAATGTTTTATTTAAAAATCCAAAAAGACTAAAGTAGGAAATTCATCTGCTTCTCAGCAGATCCTGTCCCTACTCTGTTAGTGCACCAAAATATTGCAAGGTTAAATAGCCCAGCATCCACTGGGGGGCAGCAGTCGGAGTTCTTCACGATCAAGGCTGGAATTGTTTGGCTGTTTGGCTAGTGCCTTTTTTTTCTCCCCAAAGAAGGTTCCGTTTAAGGTAATTATATTCCTGGGGAAAGGGGAGTTGCAGGGGGTGTGGGATGAAGGTTTACTTCTAGAAGACCAATCAGGTGGTAAAAGCTTGGAAATGGGAATGGCCGAATTACCAGAATTACCTGAGGGTGCAGCCTTGTCACTGGGGTGATGGCCACAAGTCAGTTTTGTCTCTGTAATGTTGGATATATTTAGTTTGTAATATTATAGAATGATGGAAATGCTCCTTTGATAGAAGGAACTCAGATGTTTCATTTATAACGGTAGAGATATGATATGAAGTGCCCTTCTCGAGCTGTTCAGTAGCAGAGTGCTGTTCTGTGATATTTAGATTGTCATCATGCAGTTGCTAACTTCTTAATCCCTGGTCAGCTCTAAGAAAAATAACCAAATGTGCAGAGGTGGGGTCGAATATTAGCCTATTTTTTCAGTATTTTGAAGTACAAAAAGAGTTGTTAAGCCATATCTAATATAGAAGAGCTTTAATAAATAAAAGAAAGATCAGAAGTTAATTTCTAGCATAAGCTATTCCAGGTAGACTTTTAATTCCAAGGAGCAGCACTGTAAGACAAATAGCTGCCTGGGGTTTTAGGACTGGAGTTAGCTGATGTATCCAGAAGGAATAGCTCTGTGAAGAATGTTAGGCTTCATCTGAACAAACAGCCTAAAAGAAGTTGACCCTATTTCTTTTTCTCCTGTTCCTAGATGTGGAATAGCTCCTGGCTGTGTGAAGCCTTTCAGCCTCAGAGAGCCACTTGTTGGATGCATGAAGCTTGAATGGGGAAATACCTTTCATGTTTTCTTTGTGCAGCTGTATCATCTGATGGATCACAAGCAGCCTTGGTAAGTTGTCTGTTTCTGCTGTTTTGGTCATGGAATGAGTTGGTTTTGCTAATTAAACTTAGTCCTGAGTAAGAGAAGCTGATCTCTTCAGTGAGGAATCCTCTTTTACACAATCTCAAAACCCTCATGGAGTAAAAAAAGCTGTGAATGTGGAAGGGAGAAAGAAGAGTGGCATTTTCTTACTGAAAGTGAAGAAATCTGCATGTATTTGTTAACAACTCCTATCGTATAGTTTATTGCTTAAATTGCTGAATTACTTCCGCTGTTTTATAATTAAGAATGTCTTCATGTTAATACTTGTAGACTTTGCCACTTTTAACTATAAATGTTTCCTCAGCTCTGCATGTCACCAAATTACTGGCAGAAATGTTGGTCACAAGGCTGGAAGCAATTACAGAAGTCATGCATCTGGATCAAATAGACTTTATGAAAGGGAACTTAGTAGCAGAAAATGTGTTGAGTTTACAAACTCTTGGTAATAGCAAGTTTTAGCCACTGCCAGAGTAAAACTCAGAAGGCACACGGTTTATTGAAAGAGTTAATGTTGCTTTAGTACCTACAGAAGAGTGACTGGAAACTTAATTTCCATAAAGAAATTCCATTATTACTTGTAAATCCCTTGAAATGGGGTTGCTGTGTTTATTCTGCTGCTTTGGTGTGCTCCAAATCTAAGAAGAACTCTACCTACAACAGTTTTAATAGCTTGAAGAAAATATTTTTGATAGACTTTAAGTGTCTATAAAATAATATTGAAATGACAGATGTGGGAAGCTCTGAATGCAGTCTTATCTGTAAATATGTTACAGAGGTTGTGCAATTTGATGGAAAAGCATGTGCTTTTATCAGACTTAGTACTGGCAGCACTAGGTAGCAGGAGAAAGCACGTGTGTCATTTCTAGAATAGGGTTTTTCTCAAATTAAACGTTGCAGCATCTTGAGAATTTTTAGTTCTTCTAAGTACTTAAGAATAAACTGGCTATAAACCACTGTGTGTTGTTGTTCAGATTATCGGCTATTTTGTAAATTATTGTCAAAAGCTCCCTTGTTTGAGCTGCTTCTTTAGTAACTTGTTCCTTGCGACTTTTGAGGGAGTAGTGGAAGGAATTAATATATAATATACATATATTCTGTATTATGTTGTCTCTGTACCCTGGAAACAAACTGAATTCCAGGTTGAGTGTCCATGCCATTGGACTCTTTCAGGCACTGTAGATTACTAGGAGGTCTTTGGAGCAGTTGCAGATGATTTAGAATAGGTTTCTGAGTAAAGTAGCAATACATTTCCATCCATTATGACAAAAACAGGAGTATTGAGGAGATGGAGAAGTTTCTCTCAAGAAACACGGCATTCACAGCTTGGTTGTGTCGTGAACCCGAAGAAGGGTTTCCTCATAACTTCTAAATGTGCATAGGCACAGAAATGCAGATTTTTTTTTAAGGGGATTAACTGCTGAATTGTGTTCCAGATGACTTTTTGTGCCAAGATACAATTGATACCTATGTTGCTGTGCCTCTGTTATGTTTGTAGACATTTGGAGATACCCACTTTTCACTACCTATATACCCACATTGCACTACCTATTAATCTTCAAAACTATTGTAATGTTTCTGTGATCTGAATTGGATGGACTATGATTTATCAGGCTGTTACTGCAGCAGACCCTACTAGCACAGCCTGAAGGGAGCTGTCTCAAGCTATTCTTTCATGATGGCTCTGGCATTAGCACACTGCAGGCTGTCAGCTGTGCAGATAGAACAGTGACCCACTGTCTTGCTCATAACAATTTGTCAGCTGCAGAGTTCTGCTAAAAGAATCACAGAATCGCAGGGGTTGGAAGGGACCTCCAGAGATCATCGAGTCCAACCCCCCTGCCAAAGCAGNGCTGAAACTTTTTCTACAAATCAGGCTGAAGGGGAGAATGACTTTCTGGATTTAAAGATTTCTGTATCTGGCTTAAGTTGTTTGTTTTTTTTTTTTTCTTGCTCAAATAGTAAATAAAATCTTCAGGGTGACATCTCTGTAATAAAAAGTGGATTACTGTCTCTGTGATCTGTCAGTGAGTGAATGAACATGTTCTGTATCCAAGTTCATCTCTGACTTACTATGAAATGTGCTGTCAATATCTGTTCTCCGAGAAACCATTTTCTGGGTTACTCTTCAGGTGGGTTCTTACTGAGCCCATGTGGCTGCTTGAGCATCCTGGAAATGGATGAGGCCACCTCAGTGCTGGGTGCCTGTGTTCTGCAGCTGCTGGGTGATTTGGCTGTAGAGGCAGGGAATGAGTTGAGCACAGTCTGCAGGTACACGTGTGTCTGGTATTATCAGCAGGCAAAACGAGCACAAAAGGCAGGGATCTGCCCACCTGTAATTAAAGAGAATACATGATTTAAATGATTCTGGCAGTGCAAGTAACTTCTAAAACCTGATAATTTTAACTCAGGCTGATTTCTGGCTTGGCATGTGGTACTTTGCACCTGCATCCTCTGTGATGTATTCCTGGGCATGGTTTGGGCATGTGAACAAACCGAATGAATGCTGTGAGCAGCACTTCTACTTTTGGACATGTGCAGTAATTAAATGCAATGTGTAATGAAGCTACAGAGCTTGGGAAAAAAATGTACCCTGTTTGGACAATAAGAGAAAAAAAAATGTTTGCAAAACAAATATATAAAATACTGCCATCCGTACTGTAACAATACCAGCATGCAAAATTTCTCTGGAAATAAAACCAGGGTAAAAAGTTTGTGCTGCTTTAATCTTTATTAGCTGCTTTGGTTCCACAAACCCAAGATAAACTGAACTCATTACATGAAGAACGTGTCTCGTATTTTGTCATTTTGACTTCCTTTTTCTTTCGTCTCACTTTGCAGCTCTGTATCGCTCCTGGGAGGGATGTCTTTTGGAAGGACAGCTTTTAGGACACGTTGCGGCGCGGCACAGGGCGCACGTATGAGAAACTGTAGTTTGCCTCAGGGGGCAAATTGCGATTTACGTTATGATGAGGGGAGCTGTGGGGGGGTTGGGGGGGGGGCGCTGTTAACGGCTGCTGCCCGGCTCCGCCCCGCGCGCCGACCGTTTACTTTCGAACGGCGCGGCCGTTGGCGCTGCGGCGCATGCGCGGCTCGGCGCGCTGAGGAGAGCGGCGGGGCCGTGAGGGGCGGCCGGCGCGCTGAGGTGAGGGAGAGGGCGGCAGGCTGGGGGCTGCGTGAGGCGATTACCGGGGTGCGGGAGACGCGGGGTCCTCACCGCCTGCGGCTCTCGGCTCGGGGCGGAGCGAAGCTGGGCCGCTCGCAGAGCTCCCATCGATCCCGCGGCGTAGCGGCCGGGCGGGCCGTGGCGTTCCGTCGCTGCGGGACTCCGGAGCGGGCAGGGCTCGGCCGTGTGGCGGCGGCGCGTTCCCCGCGCAGCCCCGCCGTGCGCCCGCAGCGAGAGCCCCGCAGGACGCAAGCGCCGTTCCGCTCGTCGGCCCTCAGCTCCCGCTCCGTACAGCTCGGTGACATCTCTGGTTTTTGATGTATTTCTTTACGTTGAAAGCGTGCCCGTTTAGAAACGGCTTGACGCGGCGGTGTTTGGCCCGCGGGATGAGACCTCCGCCTCCAGGCCGTGGCTGTGCGCTCCTCCCGCCGCTCCGAGGGCCGCCGAGCCGGGCTGATGGCGCAGAACGGCGACGGAGCGCTGCTGCAACGCGGCTGTGGGGTGTCGGTGGCACCGAGTCGTGTCCCGTCCTCGCTGGGATGGAAAGTTTGAAGTTGTGGCTGTTGGGTTGGGCTGCCGCCTCTGTTACCTTCGATGGAGCCCGGGAGGCGCCGCTCGTCCCGATGAACCAACGCCGGGGCTGCAGCTCAGCCTGTTGTGTTTTCTGAGCGTACGTTTTGCCGTGCTTCACCACGACGGTGACATTTAAGTGGAAAATACTGCCTATGCGTCATTTAATCGCTTATTTATTTCCTTAACACAAACTTGGGCTTCTACAGTAGCGATACAGGGGGTACTGTGACCTCTGTAACATCAGGAGGCAGCTTTTCTGGTGCTAGTTTACCTTGGCTGCAGTGAGCTGTTGGCAGCACCGAACTCGTGGGGTCAGACTGGAGCTGGCTTAGATTCACAGCTGCTACCTGGCGCCAAATTCACCTTTTGAGAGTTTATCAGCTTATTCCAGCTGACTTCTGTTGTAGAATGGTTACTTATTTACCCACACAGCCATGTTCTAGATATAGTAGTTACTGGACGAGTGCTTGTATAATTAACGAGATGAGCAGTGGATGACTCTCTAGGTCAGGAATGCAGTATTGCCATTGAATACACAGCATTACTTCGTTCCATCTAAATGAAAGCTTGCTTTTGGAAACAAATAAATTAGACCCTTGAAGTCTGTACAAAGAATGTCAAACTAATGAATTTTAAAACATAGCTGTGGCAGATATGCTATATGATATGCTTTTATCTTGTCTACAGCATTGCTAATTACAGGAGGGTAAGTTGTTAGCTGCTCACTGGGCCTGCTATTTCTGCAAGCTTTCAGAAGCCCAGCATGCTCCCAGCATGGTTACACTTGGAATTTTAACGTGTCTTCTAGCCTGTAATTTGCTTACAGTGAGTGGCCCTCCTGTGATGAATGCATGTGTATGTGCATACATTTGCTACCAAAGCTCGGGACAGGAAAACATTTCCCACCTTCCTCCTGCCTTTTATTTTTTCCCTGGGAAACAGTTTTCTTGTTCCTTGCTGAGCTGCTGCATCTCTCTTCCTTGGCGTTTCCTGTCTCTGGCAGCCACCTCCTGCCTTCCTTCTGCTGGTGCTCGTGTGCAGTCTTCTTTCCCCGTAGCACGTTGGGGCATTCGGTGCCTTCCTGGGCAGGGCGCTGTGCAGGAGCCCCACACTGACTGACACACACGGCTGTCCTGCCTGTGTGTGCTCACAGGAGTTACAGGAGCTGCATAACAGTGCCAGGAAAACCAGTCTGTTTCTTCCTCTGCTTCTGTGAGAGCAAGCAAATACTTCGCAGTTAAAAGCATCTTTGAAGATTATTTTTATCTTGCACTTTATCTAATGTTTATTGTTTGTAAAGAATGTTTCCCTTTTGTAACGGTTCATTTAAGGGAACTAAAGGCCTGAACTCAGGAAAAAATAGTAGTTGCAAACATAAGAAGTCTGAGGGTTTTGTATTTCTATTAGCTCCACGTATATAGGAGAAAATAATGAAGATACTGCTAAGTATTTTTTTTTTCCCAACCATGAATGAAAACTTAGAATTCAGCAAAGTGGAAGTGATGTTCTCAAAATTGACAATAACTTCATTAGTGTACATACTTACATGTATTTCCCATAGTAATTAACTCTCAGAAAATAATGTATGTAGTCAGTGAAAACAGATTTGTTGTTTGGCTTGGCTGTGTTATTGGCATGCTTTAGTTTTGGTGTCTGGAACACCACTTACAAATGTGAAATGTGCAAACCTCAGAGTGCCACAGTGACGCTATGGAAAATCTGGAAAACAAACGTGTGTGGCTCCCACACCTTGTGGCCCATAGTATTTTAGTTTTTTATCATAGTTTCTTTTCTCTTAGCATGAATACATCAGTGTAGCTTAGGTTATTGGTTACTAAATTTCATGCTGAGGCCTTTAGGTGAATAAGACAACTTTAAAAGATCGTGAAAAGAAAAATCAGACTTTTTTTTCTTCTTTTGCAGGACATGCATCAATTCGAGGAAGAATTGACTTGCTCCATTTGCTACAGCCTGTTTGAAGACCCACGTGTCCTCCCTTGTTCCCATACCTTTTGCAGGAGCTGTCTGGAAAGTGTTATTCAGCTGTCAAGCAACTTTTCCATTTGGAGACCCTTGAGAGTTCCTCTGAAGTGCCCGAACTGCAGGAGTGTTGTTGAGATTCCTGCCTCTGGCACCGAGTCGCTGCCCATCAACTTTGCATTGAAGGCCATCATTGAGAAGTACCGCCAGGAGGATCACTCTGACGTGGCCACCTGCAGTGAGCACTACAGGCAGCCCCTGAACGTGTACTGCCTTTTGGATAAAAAGCTAGTGTGTGGCCATTGCCTTACAATAGGAAAACACAACGGTCATCCCATAGATGACCTTCACAGTGCCTACCTAAAAGAGAAAGAGTCTTCTGGGAAAATTCTCGAGCAATTAACTGATAAACACTGGTCTAATGTATGCTTGCTTATTGAAAAGCTAAAAGAACAGAAGTCTCAGTGTGAAAGCATTGTTCAGGATGATAAAAAGGTAGTGGTACAGTACTTTAAGAAGCTTAGTGAGACACTGGAACATAAAAAACAAGTTCTGCTGACTGCACTGGATGAAATCAACAGACAAATTTTAGAAGAATATGAACCTCACATTGAGAAGTTGAAAAAAATAAGGGAAGAACAACTGGAATTAATGTCACTGAATACTTCTATTCAGAAAGAAGAGTCTCCACTTGTTTTTCTTGAGAAGGTGGACAGTGTGCATCAACGTATAAAAGCTCTGAAAGAGAAGGAACTGCCGGATGTTAAACCTGTGGAGATTTACCCAAGGGTTGGGCACCTGTTGAAGGATGTGTGGTCTAAAACTGAAATTGGTCAGATCAACAAGATCCTGACTCCGAAAATAAAACTGGTTCCAAAAAGGAAACTGCACAGCAGGAGCAGTGAAAAGGAAAGAGGAAAACCTGAAGAACTTCTCCAGGCTGCGAATCCTCTATCAGTCACCTTTATTTTTACAGTAATAATAGTGATAGCCGTGCTTTCATTTCACAAACCAATATCATCGGTTGTCATTGAATCCATTCCCACTTATATTTCAGATTTCTTGTTCTTTATTTATCAAGATTTCTGCACCTGTTGGCAGAACACAGTGGATGTGGTGTGCTACAAATTGAATTTACTGGTGGAGTTTTTAGGGAGAATTGTTCCTATTTGACTGTTTCAGTGATTAGATTTAACGTCAGAAACACCATGATGTCTTTAAAGTTTCAATTGAGAAGCCAAGTTCTCAGAACTGTGCTTTTTCTTTCTTTTCACATATCCTTCTTTTTATCCTATAGCTTTCCTCTCAGTTAACAGTTAGGAAAGGAGAACGTTTACAATGAAAAGGTTTTTTCAGATGCTCACGCAGTAAGGTAGGTAAGCAGATATTTAAACTGGAAGCCATCAGAAACAACGCGTGTGTAAGAAAGCTGCAATCAGTTTACAAACTGTAATCTGGAAGAGAGCAGTTTCCAGTTTGTAGTAATTTCTTGAACATCTACTTTAAAAAAAAAAAGGCAACATAAATGGAAATATTTTTTTAATAAAAGCAGTACAACATGAAAAGTTTTTAAAAGCACCTGACCACTCACTGGCTGCTCCTAGACAAGTCAGTCACTTGGTCTGGTGTACACAGAACTCTTCTGCTGCGTTTTATTGATCTCTTTTTAATTGATATAGCTGTAGTCTTTAAGTCATGTGTTAATGGATCTGGTTTTCATTTTGTGTGTTCTTGGCTGCTGGTGACACGATCCTGTTTACAGAGCAGTATCTGTAGTACCTGTGGTAAAATACTGCACACAGCTTTTAGTGCCAGCTGTGCACTGTGCACAAATCAGGTATTGATTCTAGCAGGGAATTTCCAGTGCTCATAATGATCCTTGACTTTCTGCTGAAAGATTTAGTGTGTAGTGAAAATAGATACATACTGCAATAAGTACCAAAGCTCCCTTCAAAGTCAGCGACATGAGGATTTCAGATGTTATCAAGAGTCCTTAAACAACTTGAAAATGAGTGTAAATCTATTTCTAGCTTTTCAGCACAAATGATGGAGACTTTAACTTGACATAGAAGCAAAGCCATAGCATTTTGTTCTGCAGTCAAATAATTGGTGACATGCTTCTCTTCCTATGATGAGGTACTAAACTGCACTCAGTAGAAAAACTCACAATGGAAGCAGATTTTGACCCGCAGTTATTAACAGATTGATTACAGGCTGGAATAATTGTTAACTGTTGCAGTTAGAACAGCAGAACACAGATAAGTTTACAAAAATGAATATATGTCTAATTTTGACTCAGTGCAAATAATAGTATATTCTAGCATAGCAGCATTCCTTGGGTGCTTTGTTATTTAAAGATACTCAAGTTGTTGAACTAGTGATGTAATTGTGAGACCAGCCTTTCACAACTTGGTGTTTTAAAACCCTTGTGCAAACCCAGACCTGCCTGCTCTACCAGCAGGTGCTGCTGGGGGGTCCTGCAGAACAGTAGTAATTGCTGCCACTGATGTCAGTGAGGGCTGAGAGCAAGACTGATCCTCACGTGTGATGCTGATGTATTTCTTAAGCAGAAATAAAATCCTGAGCTTATTGGTATTCTCATGTTATGGTATTGATAAAACATTAAGTCTAACCAAGTGGCAACTGTGCAGCACCCTTCTCAGCAACTTGGTGCTTCGTGTTTCTCAGATTTGACTGAAATGTCAATGATAAGCAATGCTTCAGAGGAGCAGGCCTCTGCCCTGCTTGTCTGTGGTTTGTACTTCTAGCATGAACAATGGCAAATCCCACTGATACTGCTGGTTGGATTGTGAAATCGTGTGTAGGCATAGCCTAGGATGGGTTAAGTGCCCAATAAAACTGGAAGTGGGCTCTCTGTCTTTCCCTCAAGCCCTTCTGGATGGCTGCCATCTGGCACAACCTGGTGCTATGTCTGCTACCACACATCTGCTTTTTTTGATCTATCTGCTTTTTTTTATTTTCCTGACTTTTACAAATATTATGGAAAGTTTATAATGCAATTTTATTTTTCCAGATTACGTGAATTTATAAGATGTCTTTATCACTGATTGATAGAAACATTTAGTACTCATACTTATCAGTGTACTATATATTTTAATAAATTTGCATATTCTTACATTAGAGTTGGCTAACACCTTGATTTCCTTACTGATCACTCTCCCTCTAATCCTGAACAGCTGGAAGCACTTGGGGGCTGGACTGGGGCTATGAGACAGAGCAGCAGGGCTCACTGGAGCTAGAATGTGGGTATTAAACAGTACTTGATTTGATTTCTTCCTCTTGTCCAATTTTTTGTAGCATAGACCAGAATGAGTCTCTAAAACAGCTTGCTGTGAGTTTGGTCAGTGTAGATCTCATGTTATTTGCATTGTTCATTGCAGGTGTCTGGCAGGAGGTGGGTTAACTCTGGCTGAGTGTGAGGTGCACGCTGAGCTGCTCTCACTCCCTCTCAAGAGGACAAAATACTGCAGAGAAGGTCATGGGTCAGGATAGGGGCAGGGAGAGCACTCAGCAGTTCTTGTGGCCAAAACAGCTTCACCTTCAGGAAGATTAAGTTATTATCACTTAATAATGAAGTAGGATAGTGAGAACTAAATACTGTAACTGCCGTAAACTTATCCCCAGGCTGTATCAAGGGTTTCTAGCTTTGTCATGAGATGGGAAAAAACAAAACTGCACTTGTGGCTGATATTAGGATGGGGCAGAGAAAGGCCTTTCATTTCCTATCTTTACTATTGATTTTCACTGCTGCTGATCTGTTTTCTAAAAATGATCTGAAAGTAACCGGGATGGCTTTCTGGCCCCAATTCAAATAGTCTGCATGTACATTTTTATTCTATGCATGTGAATTTGCACCTGGTGATATTTATTGTAGAGAAGCTTTCACTGTAAACATGGGACTTTTCCCTCAGTTGACAGCCTATTTAGTTACACCACCTCCAGTCTGGCAGAGCAGCTGTGTTGATGACCCTGCCTGTGCTACCAGGTAAGTGCAGGCATGGTACAGAGAGCACAGCTGCTTTGGCACCACTCAGCCTCTTCAGTTATGGGGAGGCTTCAGGGTCAATGTGCACTGTTTAACAGAACGTGCAACACCCCCATTCAGAACTGTGGCAACAGAAAGTACAATAAGCTAATCAGGCTCGAAGTAAGTGTGCTTAATAGGACAACAGTGAGAGGGAAATGTAAACAAAGATGAATAGCACAGAAAAGAGTAAACTATCATTCTAGAACTGTGTGCAGTAAGCTTTTCTACTGGTAGCCATCTTACAAGAGTAAGCACATCAATGATTGGTTATTTTTTTCTTTAAGGAAAAAGGTGGATAACTGCTGCTGACTAAGCTAACAAGTGACATGAAGTAGCATTTAAGACACAACTGTTTTCTGTCAAAAATGAGATACTGGCATACAGCAGTGAGGAATCTCATCCTAAGGTAGGAGACACTTCTAGTTCAGTAACTGGTTATTAGTGACCACCTGCCAGATATTTGACCTGACTTCTGGAGTACAGTTCCAGCTCCTAAAAATATAAAGACAGCTTTCAAAGCAAAACATGCATACAGAAGTGCTAACATCATGATGATAGAAATAGAAAACTTTAACAGGTAGGCAAGCAACAGGAATAGGGTGCAGACTTAACCTTACCTCTACAAGTGAAAACATGTTAGCTCTCTGTGAAATGATTCTAAGAGCAAGCAGGTGAGAGTCACTGTGGGACTGATAAACTGTAAGTGTACAACACAGCCACAGAAAAGAGAGAAGTGTTGTCCTTCCTGTGTAATTACAGGAAGAGAGAGAAGGAAACAACAGCCAAAACAGTTCACTGCAAAATGTTCCCAGCGTCCGATTCCTAGATCACAGCTTTATGACAGCAGCTAGAAATAGAAGTACGTCTGTTCCATTTTACAGCCTTATTAATGCAAATTATTTTATATATTGACTTCACCTACTGGGATTCGCACATTAAAATGCTTTGATATTTAAATAAGGATGCTCTTTCTTTGTTGGCATTTGAAAGCAATTTGCTTGCTTTAGTACACAGAGGGGGGAAAAAAGTCCTGAATTGACATAATAATTGAAATAATAGCTGTTGTTATTTTAATCAGTTCATATAATTAAGACCCATATAGACTGTATGATAAAGAATGCCATTTATTTAGATTTATTTTTATTAACAGTCTAAAGAGACTCAAATCTAAAGAGAAAAATCTCAAAATACAGAAGTATATTTAAAAAAATAGAGTAAGCAGCAGCAAGAATATTAATTTACATTGGAAAGTTTTTTTTTTTCATTCATTCTGGTTCTGAGCTATGCAGTGCTCAGCAATGCCAAGTTCAGTCAGTCCTTTCGCTGCAATAACTTTGGGGTTTGTTGCCACACTTTTCGTGGTGTTGTGAGTCTTGTATATCCCAATCAGTCTGTCTGCAATCTCAAACATGTTGTTCCGCAGGGAGATGATGATAAACTGCGCGTTTTTTGTCTGCTCCTGCAATGAAAGGTACTTGTATGAGCTCATGGGATTTTGGAAAGCTGCGTTTTTGCATGGTTTCTACATCCAGGTTTAAGATCAGAACTGCTGATACATCACTGTAAATATTCAGTGCACAGTACAATCCAACAGCTCTGCAGGTGCTGATCTCTCATTACTTGTCCGGTTTTGGCTAAGTCCTACCTTGGCTTTCAGCACAAAGCATTTCAATTGACTCAAGCAAGCAACAGCTTTCCCCTTTTTTTTTCCTTTCACATGACCTGTTCAAGTGAACTGAATTAAATAAAAGCATACATAACTTTTTGCAGAATTTCAGTTTGCCACAGTTTTAATGTGAATTTCATTAGCTTTCCTGAAGGCTTCCTAACTTACCTGAATTGTCCTAATGAGGGCTCCTTTAGGAATGAAAAGGAAATCAAACCTATCTCCACACACTGAGAACTGGGGGAAGCAAACCCCTTGTTAAAGGGGACAAGCTCTGAAGAAGAAAAGCAGTTCTGTGATCCTGAGGCACGATGACAGCAGGTAACAAAACATCTACATTGGGTGGTGCTTTCAAAATAAAACCACCTTTTTTCCCTTAATAACCCAGGAGCAACAGTGTAAGGTCACATGTGTGAAAATACAAGTACTATGGAAGCAAAATTTAAAGTGCTTCCTTAGCTTGAAGTAGTTAATCTTTGGCACTTCCAGCCTGTTCCCAAAATGGGTGGTTATACTTTGAGTAATTCTGAAAATTTAAAGTTTAAATTAGCAACAGGAACTGCAACAATGTAAATGTTTGCTTGGCTTAAATATGGTGATGATAGAATTATTAGTGCTTTTCCTTTCAGGCTTTCAAAAAAGACAGATCAAATAAACCTACCTATTGAATCTTGAGAGAATGAAAGGCAAGTAAAAATCCCAGGACTTTGGCTGCACCTCAGAATGAAGTCATGAGGCTGGATATGTGAACGCCCTACCAAGAGCATCTCAGCTGACTGGGGCTGATTAGTTAATTTTAAAGAGAAAGGAGTTGCAGCAAGGCTGTGCTGAACGACAGCACTCTTGGCAAACTCTTTGCTCTTTAGACAGCTTTTCAAAATGTGCAGTGAAGATGTAGGCAATAATTACAGATCTATTAGCAACTCAACTTCAAGAAAGCAGCAGTTCAGAAAAAAATATGCAGAAAACTACACCCTTAGTACCTTTCTGAAAATCTGCTTCACACAGTTATTTGAAAACACTGCATCTTACAAAGACTCTGGCTGTAACTTTGTTACCACTTTCCCTTTTTCTGGCAGAAAAGGAAAAAGTCCCACTACAATAGTTACCATTACTCACATATATGTAAAATGCTACAATGGATACATTTTTGAAGTCAAGTGCTGCATCAATTTCATCCATAAAATACAGCGGTGTTGGCTTGTAATGATGAAGTGCAAAAACTAGAGCCAGTGAACTAAGAGTCTTCTCTCCTCCTGATAAGTTAAATATTTTCTTCCAGCTTTTCTTGGGAGGCCGAACGCTGAAAAAAAATTAGAGTTTGTAAATTACTTCTGTTCATGAATCAAAGGAATATGCTGTGGTGAAAAGCAAGTCACAAGGCAGCAGGGAGTTTGTGGAGCAGCTCCCTGGGTACACACAGCTATGTGGTCAGCTGATGTTTGCCTGAACTGGAGCTATTGTGACACTCACTTGTTCTCTGTGGGACCTGCAACATTACACAAACTACTATTTAATTATATTTCAAAAGTGTTATTCTATTCTTAAAGTAATGAATATACTTCTAGGGCCATTTATGACAGAACAATGTTTGCTTACCACTCTGATCTGACATGATTCCTTGGGCAAATAAAATGGTTTGGGAAACAAGAAACCTGAAAAATTACTTTGAAATCAAAGCTTTCTAACTGCTGTTTGTTAATTATGTGTTTCTAGAAGTGAAATGAACCTCTTTATTACTCAGTGCTAAAAGGTTGTGGCTTCTGTGTGTATCTTGCCAGTATTTGCCAAGAGGTGGGGCTACCATGGTTAGCTGTAAAATTTACTGTAAAAATGGGTTTTAAAAAGGCAATACAATGATTAGGAATTGCAGCAACAATACCAAGTATTTTCACATACCTGAACATGATTCCCTCAGAGAAGGGATCCAAACTGTCTACAAGTTCTAACTCAGCATCTCCTCCCAAAGTCAGCATCTGGTAGTTCTCCTTCAGCTTATTTGTTATTACATTAAATCCTGCCATAAATTCATTTAACCTCTGCTTTCTGAGATCTTCAAAAGCTTGTCTAAATCTGTCTCTCTCATTGGTAATATCATCCAATTCAGCCACACGTTTTAGGTATAGCTCTTCCTGTAAAAAACAATAAGGAAACACAACAAAACCAAAGTGCAGTTCGAGAAGCTGCTTCTATTTCAGATTTTATGACACTTTTCTTTCTACCATTTGAAAACTTATTTTTCTCAGAGTGACCAACAGCCTTGAAATAAAAAAGAGCTGAGAACAAACCCTCCCTCTTTTCGCTGTTCACTTCTGATGTTGACGCCCTCAGTCATTTAATTAACTTGAAATTGTAATTAAACATTTAATGCCTATTTTAGTAGCTCTGTGCTTCAGGTAATTTTACAGCTCTGCTCATAGGAGCTGTGGGCAGAGCAGCTCTCAAACACTCTGGAGGAGCACTGCAGAAAAGCAC